ACTGGGGTGCCACGTACAACTGGCAAGCAGTCTCGGGGGTGTGGACGGGCCCCCAACTGCAGTGGCATATCAATTGCCTAGAGTTGTTAGCAGTGCACCTTGCCTTGAACCATCTCAAAGGATGCTTACAAGGCAAGCACGTACTGGGCAGTACGGACAACACTTCGACCGTTGCGTACATCAACCGACAAGTTGGTGGTATGTGCTCCCATCGTATGTCGCAACATGCCCGCCACCTCTTCCTTTGGAGTCAGAAGCATCTGAGGTCACTTCGTGCAATTCACATTCTGCGTCTGCTCAACCGTGCGGCCAATGAGCTTTCACGAGCTGCGCTTCCTGGAGAATGGAGACTCTAACCCCAGAGGGTCCAGCTGATTTGGAGACATTTCAGGAGTCACTCAGGTAGACCTGTTTGTCTCTCCAGAAACCTCTCACTGCCAGCTGTTCTACTACCTGGCCGAGGGAACACTCGGCATGGACGCACTGGCACACACCTGGCCTCGGGGCCTACGCAAATATGCATTTCCCCCAGTGAGCCTTTTCGCTCAGACACTGTGCAAAGTCAGGGAGGACGAGGAGCAGGTCCTGCTTGTGGCGCCCTACTGGCCCACTCCGACTCGGATGCTCCTCGTGACAGCCCCTCCCTGGCAGATTCCTCTGAGGAAGGATCTACTGACTCAGAGATGGGGCACCCTGTGGCACCCGCGTCCAGACCTCTGGATACGCAGCGGAGGTTTTAGGTGAACTACCTCAAGAGGTAGTGGCCACCATCACTTCGGCATGAGCACCGTCTACGAGACATGCTTACGCTAGTTGAACCTGTTCGTCGAGTGGTGTTCCTCTCGTCGAGAGGACCCCCGAAGATGTCTGATCAGAGTAGTGCTGTCCTTCTTGCAGCAAGGGTTGGAGTGAAGGCTGTCTCCCTCCACCCTTAAAGTTTACATCGCTGCTATTTCCGCTTACCACGACCCCGTGGAGGGGAGAATGGTGGGGAAGCACGACCTGGTTATCAGGTTCCTTAGGGGGGCGAGAAGGTTGAACCCTCCTTGACCACCTTCTATACCTTCTTGGGAGTGTCTCTGGTGCTCGAAGCACTACAGCAGGTCTCATTTGAGCCTTTGCAGTCAGTCGAGCTTAAGTTTCTTTCAATAAAGTCTCTGCTCCTGGTTGCATTGGCCTCCATCAAGAGGGTAGGGGACCTGCACGCATTTTCGGTCGACGAATCGTGTCTAGAGTTTGGGCCGGCTGACTCCCAGGTAACACTGAGGCCCCGGCACGGCTATGTGCCCAAGGTTCCTTCTAATCCCTTCAGGGATCAGGTGGTGAACCTGCAAGCACTGCCCCCAGAGGAGGCAGACCCAGCCTTAGCGTTGCTTTGTCCCATCCTTGCTAGATTGTATGTGGACCGGACACAAAGCTTCAGAACCTCAGAACAGCTCTTTGTTTGTTACGGAGGCTGGCAGAAGGGAAATGCCATCTCGAAGCATAGGATGGCCCACTGGATAGTGGATGCCATCACCCTGGCTTATCAAGCACAAGGTGTGCCCTGCCCGCTCAGGTTGCGAGCTCACTCTACTACACTAGAAGTGTTGCATCCTTCTGGGTGCTGGCTCATGGTGCCTCGCTGACAGACATTTGTAGAGCTGCGGGCTGGGCAACCCCCAACTTCTACTCAAATGGGTAGAAGCACCAAGAGGCCTCGGTTTAGTGTCGGCTTGCTAAGACCCCTCCAGAGAGTCCGTACTGTAGACCCTGTCGAACTCCTCCATCCCCTCGGCAGCCAGACATGGCGAAATGTCCGGTGCCAGGTCCTCACTCGATGAATCCTTGAGAACCGGTAGAGGGCTGGGTTCCATATGTAGAGATCTAAGCGAATCCCATATGTGTAAAGTCCACGGTATAGGTACCACCGCTGAGCAGTCGGGTCACTGGCTCGGCTCCTCAGTGAAAACCTGAGTATGCGGTGCATCTGCTGCCTATTTATACTCGCGCTGCGAACAGCGGAACCTGGATGCAATAATCGCATGCCAATGTGCATTGGCTCATTTAGTTTACACTCGAAGTAGATTGGTCTCCCTGGCGAGATTCCCAATTCGTCCGTCACTGATGTGACGTCTCCATTCCCTCCTTCAGGGAACGAGGGTTACAATACGTAACCGAGACGTTCCCTGAGAGGTAGGAGTACTGCGTCGCTATGGGAAAAGTCATTTTTTCTCCAATACTGAAGCCTTTTTTAATAACGAAGTGTAACTGCATGGCCATTGGTTCATGCAGTCAAAATAAAAATAAACCAATGGTGAGTCAGCGAAGCTGCATGAGCCTATGGCCACGAAGCCCACCAGAGCCCGAATATGGGCGGGGCAATCTGACTATATAAGCGGGCATTCTGGCATAGGATCCTCAGATTACTTAGACTGAAGCGACGACACTGAGTCGTGCAGCTCCATAGCATGACTAGCAATGCAGTACTCGTTTCCGTATCTCAGGGAACCGAGGTTACGTTAGTAACCGAGTACGTTCCCTTTCGATACTTCAATCAACCAGTACAACCACGCCGTGCTATGGAGAGGAACGACTGATATGTGAACTTCCCTTAGGCACCCAAGGGGCTCAGAGGAACAAATATAATAGGGTAAGCCCTTCATGTGGCAAACGGGTTAAACTCACAGAGGTCACGCCCGGCCTGGGTAATCGTTCCATAAAAAACTTGTACAGCCTCGGCACTTAGGGAGGGCCGAGAGCGTACAAGAAGTAAAGCAATTCTAGCGAGTTTGAGCGTGTTATGGCCAAACCCTACTCAGAGCTAATCCCACCTTCTGGCAGGTGCGTGCCAACTATGCAGAAAGGACCCTAGCCTGTAAGGCAGGGACGTCCAGGTTGTAAAACCTAGCAAATGTGGACGGTGAGGCCCAGCCGGCCGCTACAGAGATTTATGCGATAGACCAAGCCCAAGAAGAAGTCACACCTCTGGTGGAGTGGGCTCGTACTCCAATGGGGCATTGCGGGCCCAAGGAAAGAGTATGCTAGCGTAATAACTAGTGGTCGACCGATAAATCGCCAAGGCCGATATATTGGCCGATATTTGGCATTTTTTTAAATATCGGCATCGGCTGATAAGTTTTCCTGTTTGGCCGATGCGTTCGAGGCGGGACTTTGATTTTGACGGCGCTGACAGCGGCAGCTCACATTCTCCCTCTTGTTCGCCGTTGTCATTAACAGTTCTGTCTAATACGGATAGAAGTTAACGTTAACTATCCACCGGGAAAGTCTCTGCTTCGTGACCGGATGGTGTGGCCACCGAAGCAAACAAACAGCTGTTCCGCATGCCTAAAGAAGGCGGAGCGTTCAATGTAAATTCTCTGTGCCCTGACGGGGCAGAGTAAATACAACTCTTGGTCCTCCTCGGAGGGAGGAAGTGCAGAGAATGTAATGACCTGTGTGGGATTTCCCGAGGCACGAAACGCACTCACCATGACCGTCAGCAGCAGTAACGGCATGGCATTTGCATCAACGGCAAAAAAAAACTTGCTCTTTTAAAACTCGCCGGATGGTGGCAGGGGAATGCTGAAGGCAGCTCGCGGGAGCAGTGAATCAACCGAGCAGAGAGGTCTTGATCCTCTGCGAGGCTTGTCAGCGGCGCAGGCTTCGAGTCTCATAGAGCAAAGATCATGGTCGTTGCTGAAGGAGAAGAAATCTGAGGATCCTATGCCAGAATTCCTGCTTATATAGCCAGATGGCCCCGCCCATATTGGTGGGCTCTGGCAGGCTTCGTGGCCATAGGCACGTGCAGCTCCGCTAACTCACCATTGGTTTGTTTTTATTTCACTGCACGAACCACTCGCCGTGCAGTTACACTTCATTATTAAAAGAGGCTTAGGTATCGGAGAAAAAATGACTTTTTCCCATACCGTCTAGTGACACAGTACGAGTGAAATATCGAAAGGGAACAACTCTCTCTCTCTCTCTCTCTCTCTCTCTCTATATATATATATATATATATAGTATATAAACCTGGTACATTTAACCAGAAAATTTACCTGGAGTGCGTTCTCAACCTTTCCTCTACTCTCATCATAAAAACGGAGCCCTGCACACATGACATACAGGGAAAAAATAGCCGTTCACATCGCCTCTTTTGCGTGTTCAGGTTCGTTATTTCAAATGTAGACGCGCGGCAAGCACACACTGCACACTTCTGCGCCGCATTACGGCTCTGACAAGGTTTTATTTCGTCGTCCAATGCCATAGGTGCAGATTTACATTTCAGCCGGTCGGTGTCCACTGCATAACGCACACTTGCAATATTTGAGAGAGAGGGAGAGCATCCAGTTTTGTTCACATAAAACTGGACGTGCCGGCGGCACTCTCTCACTCATATAGTGAGGGAAATCCACCTGCGATCCGAGTGGAGAGGTTAGGCTACTCATGGACTGAATATGCGCTCTGCAGTAATAACGTGATCAGTGCCTATGGTCCACGCTGATAGCTGTTCCAGGGCAGTTTTTTAGTTCTCATCTCCATAAACATATACAGTGGGTACGGAAAGTATTCAGACCCCCTTAAATTTTTCACTCTTTGTTATATTGCAGCCATTTGCTAAAATCATTTAAGTTAATTTTTTTTCCTCATTAATGTACACACAGCACCCCATATTGACAGAAAAACACAGAATTGTTGACATTTTTGCAGATTTATTAATAGAGCTAATACAGTGGCTGGAATCTGTTTATCCTTCGGTTCCCCCTGCTTTCCCATCTTCATAGAGAACGCGCTTTGGAAAGAAGGTGGAAATGGCGCGGTCACAATTTCCATGCATTTTTAGACGCTGGGAGCAGGGAAATCTATTTAGAGCGCCTTATTGTAGTAATTAAAATATCGATACTTGGCGCCAGATATCGATTCTCGTATCGCATGGAGGACAACGATATATTGCCATATCGATATATTGTCCCACCCCTAATATATATATATATGTTAACATCCCTCCTTTTTATGTTTAGATCCAGCCTGTGGTATCACGGAGTAGTTTAGCTACCATCCCGGCCGGAGTGACCCGAGAGGAAGAGAGTGGCCGTTCCCACAGCACAAAGAAAGGAGCATTCCATGAGATCTTCAACCTACCTGAGAATGAAAGACCTCTGCCCGGTGAGACCTCTCTTAGACTTGCTACTTGTCTTATGAGACTTTGCATCCCTAATGAAAAAGAGTACTTGAAAAAAGGAAAGTGACTTAAGTTGAACACGCCTAACAGATTTTTACTCACTTCTCTTTCCTGTCTGTACAAGGGAGTGATTTAGTGGTGTCTTCTCTTGCAGTATGTGAGAATGGTTGGAGATGCTGTCTGATAAACAGAGATAGGAAAATTCCAACTGACTACATTCGCAATGGGATGCTCTATGTCACTGAGAAGTAAGAAACATTTGCTCATTATCTAAATTGTTGAGCACAGCAAGATGCTGGCAACACTTTTCACTCTGTTTCATGCTGTTATGAATAGTTTCACACATTTGTACATCAACAACATTTGATGCACATTAATGCAGTAGCAGTATAATTACAATTGGTTGTCCATCCAAACAGCTACCTGTGTTTTGAGAGCTCCAGCTCAAGATCAGGGTCTTCAAAGAAGAACAAAGTCATCAAACTGGTGGACATCACAGACATCCAGAAGGTATGTGCAAGTGTTGTTATCTTTAACTAAAATTAAAAACAGCTAAAAATCATTTTCGGTCTTACACTCAAAAATCTAACTGAAATAAATATGTTTAATAAATTAAATATGTTTAAAACTAATTAAATTAATAAAACTATTAAACACTTAATTAATAAAACTAATAAAAATGTCAAAATCACATACATTTAAAACTCAAAAAATATTAATAAATAAATATAATATTTGTAATATGTATTCCACATGATGTCTAGTGGGCAGGTGTTCTTGTTCAGGAAAAGCAATAGCTTTGTTCAATTTTTCTTAACTTTATGAACCTTTGACCATTTGTCATTCACTCACTTGTTTCGTTGCAAATGAGCACTATGCCTTTGTGTCATACAGCAGGTGTACAGTAGGTGGCAGCAGTGCATCACGGGCTGCACACAGACCTGCATGTAAAGAGCATTTTGATTAAATATACATACATTTTTGGAGTTTCTAAATTATACATTTACATTTATGCATTTTTACATTTTATTACATTTTACATTTATGCATTTGCTTTTTATCCACACACACACAAAAAAAAAAAATCACATTTTATCAGTTCTTGCTTTCCCTGGGAATCATTACCTTGGTGTTGCTAGCACCGTGCTCTATTGTTTGAACTACAGAAAGGCTCATTATAATTTTATACAATTATAATACAGCAATAATTATGATAAAATTTATTTGCAAATATTCATATATTTTTTGCAGCTGGAATACACTGGTTGTCTTTTGCTCAGATTTGCAGTTTGGAGAAACAAATTCTGCAGATTGGCAATGACTTTCGACAACTAGTGTCAAACATGTCCAGACTGAAAACCGGCCTAAATTTGTGCAGTGTTCCAAAATTCTGTCATCATTTACTCACCCTCAAGTTATTCCGAACCTGTACGAGTTTCTATCTTCTGTTGAACACAATAGAAGACATTTTGGTAACTTATCAGTTGATGGTAGCCATGGACTTTCATAGTGTGGAAAAAATCACTATGGCATTTCAGTGGCTACTGTCAGCTGTTTGGTTACCAACATTTTTCTAAATATCTTCTGTTCTCAACAGAAGAAGAAACTACAGGTTTGGAACAACTTGAGCGTGAGTAAATGATGACAATTTTGATGACAGAACAATGTCAAACTCCAATCTGAATGGCTGGTGTTCCATAATTTCCCTGATGGTGAAGTTGATCAGAATTAACATTTTGTTACCATAATATTTAATATATCATGTTAAATACGTATTGAAAAAAAGTTTTTTATACTACTCTTACAGTAACTCTTGGCTTTCTTTTTCCACAGTACAAAGTTTTATCAGTTCTGCCTGGGTCTGGAATGGGCATTTCTATTGCCACTCCGTCAACACAGAAGGTAGTCAAGTCAAATGTTTTTTTATAGCACTTTTCACAATACACATATTCAAAGCTGCTTTACAGAAAATCATGATGTTAGTGTTTATAACATCTTAATATATTCATGCCTTATAGACACATTTAGCAGATTAGAGCCGGTCGATAATATAGTTTACATTTTACAATGATATAAGCAATCAAGCAGTTGAGTTATGCTATATAGTATATATTATATTGTGAGTGTATTGTACATATGCTGATAAAGTTGGATATACTTTATCACCCACATTAAAATAATTACGCTGTCTATCTTGTTGCTTTAATTAAGTGAATCGCTTCATCTTTTTCTCACAGCCACTGGTCTTTGGTGCCATGATACACAGAGACGAGGCCTTTGAGACAATTTTTACCCAGTACATGAAGATCATGACCACAGCCAACCCTGAGACGTAACTCACCCTTTATCCTTCTGGAGGTTATCTCATTTGGAGACCAGTGTTTCCTGTCTAATGAACTTTAAATGACTGTAATTTGTACGATTGTGGGCATCTGATATGAAAAGCAGGAGATTCGGTGAGCTGACATTCCAGCGAGGGTTTCTGCATCTCAAAGCAGAGACTTTTCCAACCTGAGGGATGCGGGTCATGTGTCTGACCTTTTTGGCTTTTTAAAGAAACTAATCGGTGTACAGATTTGTGTTTTGTACTCGTCTCTCAGTGATTCAGATTTCATCTCTGGTTTTATCCAGGAAGATGTTACAGGAAGGTTTTGTTAAGGAAGCCAATCACACAGTACGGTCTTTAACATTTTAGACACTGCATAAAAAAAGTCTTAATCAGTATTTTTGTTTAAAAGACAATTTACCACAATTTGTTAGGTAAAACAAATCAAAAGCTTAATTTAAGATATGTTTCTCTGAAACAAAGTAATTTCCTTCTCAATTAAATTTGTCTAATTTTGGAAAATAAGACAAAAATACTGATTAATATGAAATGTAATTTTGCAGTAATTGCATTATAAGGCGTGTTCACACTTATAGTGTTTTGCAGCAACAAATTGACAGGAAGTGAATCATTTTTAATCAGATTTTGAGCAATTTGAGGCAACATAAAGTTATAGTTCATGTCTCGTGCACTGTATTCCTTCGCAGCTCTTACATTTAATTTGTACTAGTAGTCAGCTGGGGAAAAAATCCCCCACAAAAAACCTACTTTTCTTTTTTTATTATTTTTATGCAGGTCAGTTATAAAGTTAAACTTTGTGCACTTTGTCATTTTGCAGCGGTCACTGTTCGAGTTGCCAGAAATCGAAAACTTTCAGTGAAAATGAATGTAAATGAACTTTGTCACTGCAAATCACTATCAGTGCAAATGACCTTTAAGACTGATAAACAAAGCCTTTTTTTAACGTGTTTACATTGTTGCTGTGTGCGCAAAACACACTTAAAACTCACTTAAATCTCACCTCTCAGCGAAGTGTGCTTCATGTGTTTTTTTAGCAGAATATCTTCCCAAATTGAACTTTGGGAAAGTGTCGTTTCAAATGATTTAAAATGCCTTTCTTCTAAATTGTACTGTCATAATGCCGTAGCAGTCAGCAGATTAATTTCTCATCTATTGATTTGCTTATCTTTGATTACGCTAATTAGAAATGAAAGGTGTCAAACTCAGAAACTCACATTTGGTTGCACTTTATTTTGCAGTAGTATACTTATACTTGTGTACTTACACAAGAAAGTACTGAATAATATAAGGTAACTACTTGGACTTAATATGGGTTACATTTAGGTTTAGGGTTAGTACCTAGTTACTTATAGTAAGGACATAGTACATACATGCACATTAGAACTGTCAAATAAAGTGCTACTGAACATTTTTACCAAGTATTTCATGTATGTATGTCTTACAGACGAACAGCAGTTACTTGTTAATGTTTTGTCACGTTAAACTGTTACTAAATGAAGTTAAATTCAGTACAGAAAGTCTTCATTCACGCATTCACAAAGCGACTCTAAACTCATCTTGACGACAATCTTTACGCTATTTAGAGCAATCTTTGGTTGAATCTCACTGAGAAATATCCAGATCATATTTGATCACAAAATCAAAAGAATGCATATTTACGACAATGAAAAAAAAAAAAAAAATGTTTGACCTTCAGTCATAAATTATTTCAGAACAGCTATGTATAAACTATTGAAAAACATCCTTTGGCACAAAGCAGCAGCACATCTTAGATGTAGTGGTAAAAACAATCCAGTGGCCAATAGCCTGCAATGTTGCGATTTACCATTAGTTCCATCTTGGAATATAAGAGAAATCTAAATGAAGGAATTGTACATTATTTATAGTGGGCCACACTTTTTGTTTGTCTACCCTAAACGGAAGAGCTTTGCACAGATACACTATAACATTAAGAGTTAATTTAAATGTTTAAAAAAGTAACGTTCAGGGCCACAGTTGTATCTAAGACATTCCAAAGATCACCATTTTATGAGAAAATACTGTTCATACTTTGTCTTCTCATACATCTTTTAGTTTACTCACAGACAAGAGGGACTGTTGAATGTTGCTCAGCTCCCAAAGATGAATCAGTGTATTTTACCAAAGGCCCTTTAGAGCTTTTGGAAGTCTCCCACACGCTGGCTGATGTTTTGGATTGCACTAATGAAGCACAGAAGGAATCGGGAAACTAATAGTTTTGCCAAATGTCGTTTCTTTAACTGCTCTTCTTTAGTGTTGTCTGTCTCAAATTGATGTTTACACAGGCTGGGTGTAAATCCAGTCCAGACCAGTTTGATCCCTGCTAAACAGCCCAGCCTAGGGGTGTGAAAACTGGAATAATATCTTTTTTTCTTCTTCTTCTTTTTTTTTTTTCTCCATCTCCTTATGGTTTGGGATACAAATGCTTTTAGAAAATGTGTCAGCTCTAAGAAATTAATTACATTTAAATGAATACAATACATGAGTGAACATGCATAGGTCATATTTCATTCAAATGAGAAAGAAAGAAAAAATAGAAATTATATTTTGCAGATTTCCTGAAATTCTTTGTTCAAAAAAACTCAACTGTTGTCCAGTAAAGATTTTGAAGTACTGTATTTATACATCATGGTTATATTGTACTGCCTTAAATTGATGCTGAATTTAATTTTAGGTTTTAGTTTAAAGTTATAACTTTTTATTTATGCAAAATATAATTTCTTTCTTTTTTATTTTAATTTAGTGGTGGAATATGACAGACTTGTTCATGACGTTCACACACTTTAAAAGCAACAGTTTACATAAAACCGCTGTGTTGGGCCGTTTAACTAAGCATCAGAAGTCATTGTGTATCTGGAGGTGCTCAAGTTGGCACTAGTTGATAAAGTATTTGTTAACTGTGTAAATGTTTGCTATTTTCATAATATTTTCGCTGCAAAATAACATTTGCAGAGTTCATCTGACAGATGTGAATTATTGTTATTATTTGTTAGCTGTTTTTTCTGGCTGTCTGAAGACAAATGATTTATATACAAAAGTACAATAATATAAGAAAAGTTCTGATTTGAATAGAACAATGTATATTGTTAAATCATAATGTGTTGTACACTTTTTTTAATTTAAGTAAATTAATGAATTGTATAGACTTACGTGTGTCTGTTGATTTTTTACATTTGATTTGGTAATGGTTTTTGGCACATTTGACTTCAAATTCACATATTTGGGTGAACCTACCCTTTAAGACTTTTGACCAGCTGCCACTAGATAGCACTGGGGTAACGGGCTTGAAGACGCCAGATAGACATGTAGAGAAATATCTGTAAATCACATAATACGACTGTATGAAGCAATACATACTTTTATTATGGAAGTCTTAAAAGGCTCTGTGGAGCGTGTAATGCACATAACCACAAATGTTATTTCCAGCAGAGGTTCAAGCGCCTATTATTATTATCAAGTCCTAGCAGAGTCCTATTCATGTCCAAAAAGGTTCTCAATGCTTGTGCTATGCATTTATGGAGGAATTTCCATCCAATTGAAAACATTCTGGCTGTCATTCAGTCTGTATCTAAAAGTCTTCACAAGAACCTGGCACAGACGTTCACATCTAGGCTGCATTCCAAGATGGAGAGCGACTAACTTTTATTATGTTTATTATCATGTTTAACTATATTATTGTTTTGCAAGTGTATTGTTCATTTTATTCTATTTTAAGAGAGTCCGTAGCAGTAACATAAAATTTCATAATAAAGTTTCATAAAATATTATGAAAACCATAATGAACGCTTGGCAGATTATCTTTTGGAGAATGACTGTGTATAGTGACCACATTAAGCAACTGAAAATATTATGAAAACCATAATGAACGCTTGGCAGATTTTCTTTTGGAGAATGACTGTATAGTGACCACATTAAGCAAAATATATATATATATATATACATAAATATATATATACATAAAAAAATCTAAATTTCAAAAAAATGATTCAGACTGCGATTTCTGCAATATAGAACATAATTCAAAGCAGAATTTTTACAGACAAGAAATACTAATTTTCGTTAAAATATTTAAAAAAGCATGTTATTTATAAAGGACTCCCAGCCAGGCCAAGCGGGTGTTTAACTGGTTCAACATGGCGACCAGTTGGTTTATCAGCCTGACCAACTGAAAAATTGAAATTCTAAATTTCAAAAAGGTGATTCAGACTGCGATTTCTGCAATATAGAACAGAATTCAAAGCAGAAGTTTTACAGACAAGCAATACTCATTGTCGTTAAAATATTTAAAAAGCATGTTATTGGTAAAGGACTCCCAGCCAGGCCAAGCTGGTGTTTAACTGGTTCAACATGGCGACCAGTTGGTTTATAAGCCTGACCAACTGAAAAATTGAAATTTCAACATTATATATTTTAGCCTTTGCCTTAGATGTATTTCCAAGACTTCTAAAGATCAGCTTTTCTTTACTCGAGTATAAATATTTTTGTGGGCTTTTACTTTCCTGTCTTATAAAGAGAAAAATGATACTTTTACTTTGATAGATTTCCCCAGCAGGCCGGTTCCAGAATCAAATCAATGAGGGTGCTTCTGAAATTAGTGAGGGTGCTCTAGCCTTAATGTACATCTATTTTGACATTGTGTCCTGTCCATTTCTATGGTTATCACTATGTCAGTCATTGCAATTTGGAGAGTGAATCCTGCATGAGGATGTCACTTCTAACGCTTTGTAGTGTGTATGTGGTCATTGGTCATCTTAGCAGCATGGCTAACAAAACTGTTACACAAATTCTGAATGCATTATATATAGTTATGATATATAGTTATGTTATAAGCAATGAAGCTGTCTACACTGCACATTGAATCTCTGCGTCTACACTTTGTTACAGTGAGATGGTTGGCGAGCGTGCAGAGCTCAGCACTGAACAAAAACTCCAGCCTCGGTTTGACCATTGCATTCAAAGAAATATATGTCTGTGATTGGCTCCATTGCTCAACACTGCAAAACTCGTTGGAAATAGAAACCTGTGAGACAGCTCCTGAGCGCAAAAACAGAGGGCTTGTCCAAATACCCACACTTGCGATCTTTGCACTTGACCACTTGTCTACTTACAGTACAAGACGTATTTCCCGTATTTGGCCCAAGTGTTCAAGTGGGTGTGAAGACCACAAGTGTTTGTAGAGGTTTTCATTACCCGATGGGACTCACTTATAGAGTTGAAAAATGCAAGTGTTTACAGAGCTTTATTTTGATTTTCAATGCAATACTTCAATACATTTTAAAATAAACATCGAAATGTCGGTTCAGTAGTCTCGATAACAGATGACACAATTTAGTAATTGTGGCGCTTCTAATTAAGTTACAAAAAGCAGTTTCAAATGTACAAAATAAACATACTTATCTTTACAATAAAATGTGCACTTTATGTTTTACTCCCAAATTATAGCTATGCAATATCTAATTATTAAAATTATTTTTAGGTTTACGCAACATCTTGCGAGATCTCGGCAAAAAGTCTCACAATTTATTTCCAGAACATGATGCATGTTGGGATGCACTTAGCAACAACTAACGCTCTGAAGTGTGGATTTAGTATGCGTTAAGGGCTCTGCGCTTTGACGTTTTTAAGACCTCGTTCACTTACTTTCTGTTGCATGCACTTGCTCTCAAGTTGCCAAGAATACAAGTGTGGGTATTTGGGTCCTGTCCAAATAGATTTGTGTTCCAAGATCTGAAGGGGGCATTTTTAGAATAATACTAAAAGGCTTTTTACTTGCTTAAAAAAAAAAAAAAAAAA